TTGTAGATTTGAATAAATTTATTCGCACAAATATTCTTAAAAAAAAATAAAATTTAAATTTAAATTTAAAATTTTTTTGCCAAATTAAAATTAGCAATTATTAATAAATAACGTATTTATAAAAAAAAATTTATTAATTAATAATAACTTTTTTAAATTTTAAACGTGTCGTTTAAACTTTAAGAAAAAAAAAGGAAAATGTTTTCCTTTGGAAGGAATCAAATATATTTTGACATAATGAAAAAAATTTTTTTTTGGAATATAAAATTATAAGATTAATTAAATATTTATTAATTTAATAATACGTCATGATTATTATGTAATTATTAAAAAATTTATAATGTTATCGATTTAATCGTTCGTAAATTTTTTACGTCTAAAAAAAAAAAAAAAACATTTTTTTGTATTATTATTATCATTTAAACGCAAACTACAAAAAAAAAAATTTCGGTAAAACTTTCGTGAAAGTTTTTTTTTTATTACGTCACGTAATTGATATTTGTCATGTAAAAAATTTTCTATAATAGAATCAAGTGTAAAGTTATTTTTTATTATTATTATTTTTTAAAATAAAATTAAAACAATAATAAAACAAATTTTTTAATTAATTTTTTTTGTGTGTGTCAATCAATGCAATTTGATAAATTAATTTTTTTAACGTGACATAAAAAGCCCCCCCCCCAAAAAAAAAAAAAAACAAACAATTGAAAATATTAATAATAATAATTTATTTTAATAAATGTATATATATAATTGTTAAGAAATAAAACGGGTAATTATTATTATTTTAATATATATAAATTATTTGCATGTGTATGTTGTGTATATGATGTTACAGATAGAAAAATTTTGGCGTTTAATTATTATTATTATTCTAAAAAAAAAAAAATTTAAGAAATAAAAAAATTAATTCATTGAGGAAACGAAATTTTTAATTAAAAAAAAAATTAGGAGGGAAAGAAGGACGGACGGAAGGAAAAGGAGGGGAGGAGGGGAGGAAGGAGGGCACGAAAAACAAAAAAAGAAAAAAAAAGAATAAGAAGAAGAAGAAGAATAAGTTAAATTCTCAAATAGGACAGATACGTCGACACATTATTATATACAACATTTGAGTTTTTGAATCGATATCCTTGGGTTTTAAGTCCACGCGCGCATCATGTAAAAACTTAAATCGCAATGTCCGTCTTTAGTTCTGTCCGGGCTGCGAATACGTGAGGATGGATTGTGGATTTGAACGCGAATTCGCGTTCAACATTGTGCCTGTTTTGACAGTGCGATGCTAGGGGCTGCTATTTTGGGGCCCTATTCGTCGTACGAGCCCCTCGAACGGCCCCCATTGCGTTACATCTCAACGCTAACTCGCGATAAAAGGCTGGGAAAATGTCCGTCCGTAGCCTGCACAGAAGATTTTCCGTCAATGCAGGGTAATGTAACAAAAAATATATATATAGA